GGGGTCGCGTTGCGGCGTCTGTCTGCAACCACTGATCCAGACTGCCAGGCAGCAGCACAGCAGGGGGCTTTGATGAGGCCGCTGACTCCGGACCACCACTTCCCATCATGCCGTTCAGTATGGCCACGTCTGTATGGGTGACTCAGCAAGCTCTTGATGGACATTTTCATGCCGCTGCTTTGTAACAAAGAAAGGACACAATGCTCCTGCGTGTGTGTGTGTGTGTGCATGGAAGAAGCCTGCCCTTCCCCACCAATCAGAGACCAGCTGTCTCTCATGGTCTCTGATGAAGACGATGAGTGTCTTTCGTTTTCCTGCACTCATGTATTTTTATGTGTACGACCACATGCAATCCATTCTCACGCTCATTCACAGAGTTGCTGATGGAGTGTTTTTTTAAATTTTTTATATCACGCATTCATTAGGGCTAACTCCATTCTTGATAAACACAAATAATAAAGAACAGTGTGAGACGTGAGTGTGATTGTAGCGCACTTTGGGAGGATATATCCCTCTCTGCCCCATAAAACCTGACATAAAATAATTTATAAAGTGTTGCTGCTGGAAAATACAGTGAACTAACCAGCGTCAGTGCAGGTCTTATATAACAGGCCATATACAGAGCAAGTGGGCCCCCGCCCTTGTGAAGCTGTCATCTGCTGGAGTAGTAAAACAATGGGAGTGAAGGGTGAGAGATAACAGTGCATTACCCCTGCTGTGATAATAACACTGTGCTATGGCTATATTTATGGGTTCACTTTGAAAATTGCTTGGTGTGTGCATGTGTGCATGTGTGTGTGTAAGTGGCAGTGTACACTGGGCTGCCCAGAGCTCAGAGCTATGCAGCGCCACAAAAGCTCACAATTTCACTTTGGCAGTAAAATCACTTTCAAATGCAGTAATGTGTGCCGTTCCTTCTTCCCCTGCACAGAGATGTGTGCTGTCAAATACAAGGATTGGTGCGTGATTTTCTTTTAGAGCGAGGAATTCATTTCTATTTTTCCGTTCTGTTTACCAAGAGTTGTCCTCATAACAGCTGATGTCAAATAGAGGGTGATGGTGACTCTGAGGTTGTGTTCACTATCGGGCACACAGACACACATATACTCTCAGTTCTTTATTTAACCTTTCCGTAAAGGGATATTGTGGCCTTTTCCCCTGCATTCTCAGGCCGAAGCAGACCACTCATTAAACCGCCACCAGAGCTTGCTATACCATGACCTTACCTCCAATAAAAACAGCTCAGGCCTGAACAGCAGAATAATTACTTGTCACTGGAGTTTGAGGCCAGCTGATGCATTTACAGGAGGGGCAATAAGGTTTCTCTGCTTTCCTCTCTCCTCCTGTGCTGCTCTGAAGTAAACCACACTACTGTTGGCTAAGTTTACACCTTCATCCCACAGTAGATTTTTCTTTAATTCCATTAGATCT